TAGCTACAAAACGCAATTATTAACTTATAAGGGATGAGGACAGCCGCAAAAGGAAAGTGACGGCTGGAAAAGGAAAGTCGATTCGCGATCGACTGCGTGACCGAACCAAAAAGTTCAGAGACAAAAAACAGGAAAAAGAGGAGAGCGACAGGAGGGATATCAAAGAATTAGGACAGAGGTAGACTATGCGGCGAAGGYGAGTGATCTAATCAAAATGAAGTTACCTCCTCTCCTCCTCCTCCTCCTCCTCACACCCTCTGTGGTGCTCATGCCATATAAAATATATATTGCTATCTTTTTTTTTTTTTTCAGAACTATTCGATTGCTGTTGGGTATATTTATATAGCATTTACTATTTATGTTCCCGTAGCAAAGTCCACTTCATCGTCGTGCGCAATACAACCTAATATTGTCTTCCTTCACCCGTGACAAAGCCCAGGCATTACACAGCTGACACAGCTGTATTGGGACTACTCTCGGTCTAGATGCAACTAGACGGGTGTCGACGGTAGTAACTAGGAAACAAGCGCGTGCAACCAAGAAAAAGAAAAAACAGGAATCGGACATATCAGCCTCGAACAGAGGAATAGAACAAGCAGATCAATCAGAAACTGAAAACGCTAAAGAAAAATAATTAAACAAAGAAACGCTCTTTCCCAACCTCTCAAGTCTCCACCTCTTGAGCATGAGAGCGCGTGTTGTATTCGAGAACAGCATGCATACATAACGTGTTGTATTCGAGAACAGCATGCATACATAACACAGTTCAGAAATTGATAGTACGTAACAATATTCTTTTTTTTTTTTTTTTGGAAATATTCGTACATAGATTGTCACAGAACTATTGACTAAGGAGTGCAAACACGAAGTAGAAGAAGAAATAAGATGAGCGAAGAAAAGAAATATATTGCCACAAGAATAAAAAAAGAAATATATCTATATGTTCATGTCTCGATAGATATATTTATCGTTACAAAGATATGTGTATACATACGTGAACTATATATAAATACGTATATATCGTCACAAAGATATGTGTATACATACGTATATATTGTCACAACATATCAGAAGCGCAAATGCGAAAAAAAAAAAAGGGAAATCAATTTTTATCTATATATTTTATATATATGTGTATACATACGTATATATCGTCACAAAGATATCAGAGCGCAAAAACGTAAAAAAAACAAGAAAAAATTACGTACATACGTATATATTGTCACATGATATCAGAGCGCCTAAGCGAAAAAACCAAAAAAACAAAAAAATCTTAAATTCGTTTTTAATCTTCTTCCTTACAACTCCCCCTGTTCAGAACCTCTTGCGTACAAGGCCGCCCATATACGTATCATATACGTAAGTGAACGAATACATTCCACAAAATGTAAACGTTCCCTCAACGATACTGTAAACGAAAAAGCCGCAAAACAAAAAGCAAAATAGGCCAAAGACCAACGGGCATAGCTAAAGTTGGTACACCCATGGACTGTTGAAATACAGACCCAAGACCGAATCCAGATGCAGTCGGATAAACAAAATAAGATCAGTTCCGTTCACCCAAGACCAACGGGATTACCGACGGTCGGTCAGTTCAGTGACGATATCTCAACGCCAACCAAGGAAGCCACGATGAAGGACAAAAAGAAAAAAGATAACTTGATAATCGAAAGAGTACGAGACAAAATAAGTAACATACATATACAATATACAATACACGAGAAATTAAGCGAGTGGAAGAGAGAGGAAAACAGAACAGGGACTGAGAAAGGCAAAGAAAACAATGAATAGCCGAAAAGAGGAGAGGGTGGATCTGACAAGTGGCGAGCGTTTACTAAATTAAAAAAAAAAAAAAAAAAACTACACAAAAAAAGAGGAGAGAAGAAAAGAGAAAGAAAAGAGTTCGACTGACAAAAAAGAACGGAGAAAGCAACGGATATAGAGACCAGCCAGCGCTATTTACAGATTAAAAACTAATCCCAATACTAAATCATAAATAAACGCCGCAAAGGCGACCAGATTTCCTCAACAGACGGCACTAATCAGTGACATGCCGATGCTGGCAGAGACTACCAATACACGTGTCGGTCGTTGTACAGATCTCTCTCTCTCTCTCTCTTTCTCTCTCTCTCTTATCTCTCAACCCGGCACTCATCGAGAGTTGTTTTCTTGGTAGTTAATAAAATGAAAAGCGCATCTTCCTCTTCCATCGTTCCTAAATCTGAATCCAATCAGCCGCTGAACCTAACATCAGATCACGTGAGCATCTTCCTCTTCCATCGTTCCTAAATCTGAATCCAATCACGTGAGCTGACAAAGACCTTAACGAATACGATACCCATGGGTTTTGGGGTTGTGGGCGGACCACACAAACACACACTGGGGGC